ATCTATCTATCTATCTATCTATCTATCTATCTATCTATCTATCTATCTATCTATCAATAGGCCCTACATATACGTATGAAATAATACACATATTATATATCTTTTTACGGTATTACACCAGCTTCTAAGTTATTTAAATTGCATCGATTGCACAATAACATAAAAATCAATGTTTTCTCTCCCCACTTCAAACGATGATATTGTTATGTCGCATAGCGGTGAAAGGGCAGTTATCTTTTAATTCAGGCATGAAAGAGCAAGACGAGGGAAAGTAAACTTGATTTTCCGTAAACCGCCAAAAAAGCAGCTTGTTTTTCGGTTCGTTGAAACCTCGACTGCAATTTTAGGATAGAGGAATTACAGTTGTAATATCTTTGAAACATAATATAATAATAGCATTCTTTCAAAATCGACAATTCATCATCGAGCAATTTATTTGAAGTTATTTATTTTCTAAATTTTTGTGTGTTTCGTTTCCACAAGTGATTTCCTCCGCACAAACTAACACCAGAGACCTAGCGCAAGGTCTCTGCTGACAAAGAGCGATAATCAATGAAATTCTTGATCACTAATTTACATGGATTATTTCTCTTTGACCGTGTTCCGTTTAACTCAATATTTATTCTTACACCCACAGGTCGTGTGTTTCTTTGAAATGTAAGAATCTTCGTGCTCACTGTTCTGAATTTTTGGATTATGAAACCATGGTTGTTGCTAAGTGGCGTCGGTGGCCTAGTGGTTAGGCTCTCGGACTCGCAACCGTAAGGTCGTGGGTTCGAATCCTGTCAGGGACCTGACGTTGTGTCCTTGGGAAAGGCACTTTAAACGAATTTTCCTCACTTCACCCAGGTGGGAATGGGTACCCAGCTATAGACAGTGAAAGATCTTGTGAGTTTGTTAGTGTTTGAGCTCGTGAAATCCGCAGCTTGCACTGTATGCTTCCCGGGAAGCTGAGAATGTTTCTGAGTGTTCTATGGTCTGCTGGGGTAATAATATAGTGTAAAGCGCATAGTGCTTGCTTTCGAGCGGGGTTATGCGCTATACAAATGCTATCTATTATTAAGTTGTTTCATAAATCTTGAGGTTTTTTTTAAAGTTTTGAAAATGTAAAAACCTGAATCAGATAATTTTTTTAAAAGGAGAAAATAAGCCATGTTTGGCACCTTGTAACTTCCACATAAATGACGACAGAATACAAACTGTATTTATATTGTTGCTGAGACCATAGTTTCATTTTCCCAAATAGTTACTATATAGACTGGGAAATATTGCTAAACAAAAGGGGACTCGTGTTACGTGTTGCCATTAATTAGGAAGGTGAGTAACCAAAATGTGTTCCCCTACTTTTTTCCCCCTCAAAACTTTGTGACAAATTACTTGGTATTTTGGTATAGATCCAAAACGTCCCCCAAAAATATACTAGAGACAATGGAACTTGAACAAAAACTGAAAATAACAGTTTTTAACGATCCCAGCCTCTCCATTCTTTGGCCTGTGACTATTTCTCTCAGGGCTCCCCGGTTGGACTAACAGGTAGAATGGACTTCCTGTGTTGTATAAATCTTTTGATCAGTTATATATTTCAAAAAGTTAAATTACATGTATTTGAAAATAGCCGGATCCCATTTTTAAAATTTAGTTGGTTTTTCTAGTAACAGCAAGTATGGTAAGTACCTACTGTGATTGTCTTTTTTTCCATGTATTTTTTGTCAGATTACGAGTGAATACGTATTTGAAAGAATAGTAGTTGATTACAAGCGGTGCTTTGGTGTGGTTTGCTCCTTCTCTTCTAACAAATCAGTGGTTGGCGGGTGCTCTAGTGTAGTTTGCTCATTCTTTCCTATGCAACATCTATCATCCTCATCTCCCCTCTTTCTTTTTTTGTGCGTTTGTTACTCTTTTGTAACACCTCCAATCTTCGGCACTTATATGACCTATTGCGTTGAAAGCTCCGTAAAACTCTTACTAAAACTTTCCAAACAAAAATGTACCGTCCATATTATCTCCCCTCCTTCTTTTATATTTTTGGTGCTCTCTTGTAACACCTCTAATCTTTGGCACGTGTTTGACCTATCAGACCGCACCCCTTCTGTCTCATCCAAAATCAATACTGATACAAAGAGACAGCTCACTACATCAATGTTTACACAAACGTTATGTTACCCATGTCGTACCTGGACATTGGGTGTGGGTGGTTGGCGGATGCTCTGGTGTGGTTTGCTCCTTCTTTCCTATCAAACAACTATCGTCTTCATCTCTCCTTCTTCCTCTTTATGTTTATTACTCTCTTGCAACACCTATTTTGTTTTAGTAGAGGCATTACGGCGCTCGCAACTGCATAAGGTCATATGGGCGCCAGAAGATATGCAGCGTTACAAGAGAGTAACAAACATAAAAAAGGCGAAGGGGAGATAAGGACGATAGATGTTTCACAAGAAAGAAGAAGCAAACCACACCAGAGCACCCGCCAACCACTCACGTAACACCTCTAATCTGCGGCACTTACATGACCTAATTGTGTTGCAAGTGCTGTAAAACGTTTACAAAAAAAAAGAAAAGAAAAAAAAGGACATTGGGCAAAACTCATGAAAG